CACCATTAAACTTATACATGTACAAGAAAAAACCTTTTTGTTCACTCATTTGTAGAGACAAGCATAATTATTTTGTCTGACATGTTTAAAGTGGTCAATGAACAGAAGTGACTCATGTACATCACTCCTTATTGACCCCATACATAGGTCTGTAGAAGTACAAAATAACCCCTGTTACACTCCATGACTTTCATCAATAGCAGACTGAAAACCCCTTTATAAACATAATGTCAACATAATGTCAAATCTAACAACTTTCAATCTATCAACCAATCTCATATTTACAGGTTTATTTTGTATAAATTTGTAACAGGAAATAATTCGTATTTAAGCTTACACATAGTCATCTTCAACCCATAACAAATAACAGATTTCATGCTAATGTTTAATGATTGAGACCACAACTTCCCAACAATTTGATCACTGTTTGTTCACTGCAGTTCATGCATATCTTATGGATAGCTGACAAGGAATGTATCTCTGGGTCCAGTAGTATTAATACACAAACAATGTTAACATTATCTCATAGCCTTCAAAGTGCTCTTGTCTCAGTCTCATCTCCATGACTACTCTAACAAAAATCTCTCTTCATAAAATCCATGATCTATGGGGAACTTTCTGAATTTTCTAAAAGTGAAATCCCACAAATCATGACTTCTATTTCTGATCCTACCCTTTCAACCAAAAGAGAGGAGCAAGAATCAGACTTGATCTCATTATCTGGTGAAATAAAATGAATCCTACTTTGCTGCACCATGTGAGCTACTGAAGACAGTTATGTTATCAGTGAAGACAGTCAGAAGCCTATTATTTTGGAAAACTATCTCACATTGTGCAATAAAGCGAAGAAGTAACCAAAATGAAAGCATCAATTATATAAAAGTTTAGTCTAAAAGTGCCATCAGTAACACAGCATGTAACCTTTCATTGTCTTTACAATCACCAACCAAATTTTATTGAGAAGAATATCATAGCAACCTTATCACACCTAACATTGTCATTGAGAGGAATATCATAGCAACCTTATCACACCTAACATTGTCATTGAGGGGAATATCATAGCATCCTTATAACACTAACATTGTCATTGAGGGGAATATCATAGCATCCTTACAACACCTAACATTGTCATTGAGGGGAATATCATAGTATCTTTATAACACCTAACATTGTCATTGAGGGGAATATCATAGCATCCTTATAACACCTAACATTGTCATTGAGGGGAATATCATAGTATCTTTATAACACCTTACATTGTCATTGAGGGGAATATCATAGCATCCTTATAACACCTAACATTGTCATTGAGGGGAATATCATAGCATCCTTAGAACACCTAACATTGTCATTGAGGGGAATATCATAGCATCCTTATAACACCTAACATTGTCATTGAGGGGAATATCATAGTATCCTTATAACACCTAACATTGTCATTGAGGGGAATATCATAGTATTCTTATAACACCTAACATTGTCTTAACAATCATTGTCCAAACTTACCTAAGAGGAATATCAAGGCCCATGCCTTGCCAAGAAACACAAGAGAATCAAAATTGAGAGGACTTTCTCGCTGATGGAATAAAAGTAACTTGTATGAAGTCTACAGGAAGTAATCAACTCAAGTTAAAATAAATATTAAGGTAATATAGTTATCACATCTGTTTTAACTGATCTTCTCTTTACCAAAACATTAAGTATGGGGTAAAAATACATTTCACAACAACTTTCATCATTATATATCTCACTAGTTCTACTATATACCTGACCAGAACATTAATTGCCTTGGTTATTAGTTAACTATCAACAGCTTTCAAAATTTCTCCATATTTATGCATTTGACTTGACTTCAGAACCTCTTAGAACAAACATCAAATCTAAATTCTAAAACTTACCCAAGATAAGTATTATTATTTGATTCCATAACTATACAACAGAATCTCACTATATTCCAATAATTCTGTAATTAAGTACAAATAATTAATCAAAAAGTCTTAAATTTTGAATAATTTCATAAATAATAAGTTAGTTTAATGGGTTTATCATATTATACAGGGATTCTGTTATATATTTATACTAGGTAAGTCCACTGATTCAATGAATGTATGTTCTAATTTCAATTTGAATTTAAGTTCATTCTAACGGGGTGAGTGTCCACAATTTTGACTGCATTTAAATAGTTAATTTAACTTGAAACGTAGAGTTACTAATATCATTATCTCAGAGAAGATTTATATATAACATTGATTCAATACACTTAAGATTTAGTTATTGCATATATACATAGAAGAATAGACACAATATACATGCAGTGTATATTATACTTCAAATAGGTCACCAACCAGGAAGATAATACAAAATCATAAAAGATAACACCCTTTATTTACTTCTCGGTCATTAAAGTGAATACCATTCTAATTTCCTTTCTTTTCAGTTTGACAGGCTTTCCAAATATAATTTATGCTATAATTTATGACATAATATACAATGTAATTTTGTTCAGTCCAAAGTTTCTTGAAGTCTTTTTTGTCTAGGATATGTATGTGTAACAGGTACACTTATAGCTTTCATTTGCATCAATATGATTTTCCCTCCAACTATCGAGGCTCCAGTAATTAAATCTTGATTAGATTATGTATAGTCACTAAATGCTATTTGAGCTCAATGGTGTGTCATTTTGGTGGTCAAGTTTTTCTAGAATCACAAGAACCACAGTCATCAAAGGGGATATGGAATGGTGCAAATGAACTTTATTACTCATACAAAGGCTAGAAAACAATTTTACAATCCCTTAAATTTGTGATTAAATGTAATAAAAAGAAACTTGAGTGAAAATAATGTCATTATATGTTTTGACTAAGTGATTCATCCACTAAAATCTATTAAGAGTCAAATACCTTAAATGCATTTTACAAAACTACCAAAGTACCGTATATCATTAACTAGTGTACTGAGTAAAAAGTGATTGCCTGACTAAGCTTCTTTTCAGACTGTTGAAAATATTTCAAAAACAGAAATCAGAGTTCAGTCTTATTAATGAGATTAAAAGTGAAATAGCTCAGTTAATGACATTTTAAACATTGTTTTAGCCCAGGGATATCACTTACTGATAAACCACTAATTACTAAGGACTATCTGGTTAGAGGAAATTAATGTTTGGTATTAAACAAATATTTGATATTAATGTAAAAAAAAAAAATAAAAACAATCCATGTTGAAGCTTGAGTTTCAATTTGAAGATTGTTAGACACCATTTCAGACCAAACAAGGAAGGAACATAACATTTGCAAACACAATTCATAAGTGATGTTTGATATATATATTTATCACCACTTACCAATTATGTCTGCAAATGTCTACACAATGACATGAGCAGTGATCTTCATTCATGTTGGCTATGTAAAAGGTAATATCATGTAATAGCTTACTGTTGAGATTTGAGACTTCAAAATCCATGTGTGTCCAGAATTATCCCCATTTGAATGTAAACATGAAGATTATTTACATATATTCAGGATCCAAACAGACCCCCCAAAATGGCGAACCATGGCTCGCTTTAAAAAGCTATCATTAAAAAATATCAAAACAGATAGGCTCATTATGAGGATCCCCAAACTGATAACTAGCTAGACTGCTTAGCATTGATTTAATCGGATTATCCATACCCATTTACAGCTGGGTTGTCTTGATTAGTGTCCCATATACACTCATAGAAATTTTTTTTACTACTTCTTTAAGGCCACTTTAGACATAGGTCAACAAGTCCAGGGAATTATTCAATAAATCAATGTTTACCTATCACTGTGATAAGTAATCAAAAATAAACAGGGACATTTGACATGGCTTTAACTAACCTATAATATTTATCAGCTATGTTGCTTAGTAGGGTAGAAAATATCTAGAAATACATTTTATCCTCAATGCCTGCAGGCATTACATAAGTCAATGAAAAGAAGTTTGATTAACTATAAATTTTTTATATCTCATTGGGTCTAATCAACAGAAAATAAGAACAATAAAGACAGGCTACCCATTAGATATTCAAAATATCAATACATTTTAAACAGAATTTCTTTTTCATACATACTTTCATGTCATTTGTTAATTTCCCTTCCTCAATTAAATTATATCCATATCACCCATACAAGTAAGTAATATTTACCGAATATACACACAGTATCTGTAGCCTATACATTGTTCTACTTTGTGGAAACAATTTATATGCGAGGACTAGATGGGTCAGTCCGATTTGTTTCACGATTTTTCCATTTTTTAACCATTTGAACAAGATAACGAACACTTACCTTATTTTTCGTCATGGAGACTTTGTCAATTCACATTTTGTAGTGATATTGTGAATAAGGAAGTAAATCCGTAACATTGACACCGAACTCTCATAGTCCTCTATGTATTGCCCTCTTTGTCAAATCAGTTACTATCAAGGGACATAACTCCGTCATGCTCTCACTCACTCCCAGTCTTAGATTTACTACTTAACTTGAATGACTAAGCTAAGACAGATCAATCTCTCAATAGAAATATTTACTAAAGAGAGTTATCCAATTAAATGACATGATTTATTATAGGGCTGGGTCTAATTACGCTAAGTAATCTATCAATCTCATTAGCAGGATGCAATTAAAATTCACTGGTCACTGGATCAATGTCCCATTTTTCGTTTATTATATCTTCATGTAAGTCTATTTATACTATTTATTAGAGCACAGAATGAATTCTTATTTTATGACTAACAATGTTCCATGACAATACTAAATATGAATGATATACATGTGATGGATACCTAGATGATTCGCAAACTGTGAAAAGATTGTCAAAAAAGGACTACATCCACTTTGTCAAAGCGATACATTATGGAAAATTATTATAGGCATAATTAATGGACATATACTATCTGTTCCAGACTATCCTTAGGGGGCGAAGAAGGTTCTAGATAAGACAAACTTCCAGTAATGTCTTTTATTCCAAGCAGAATTATGTTACAGAAATAATAAAATTTTATTCTGAAAAGAGAAAAGTTATACTGATAAGAATCAATATCAACTAAAGGCACGTAACCTCGTTTAGCAAGACTACAGACTACACTTAACTGATCAACGCACACAAGTTGGCTCTATAAGTTCCATTCTCTTATTACCTACCTAACATATTGAATACAATACAGATATGAAACTGACAATATATTGAGACTTATGAAAATACGTTGTAGAACTAGGAAATATACAATAAATCTTAGCGGACAGGGAAATTGTGTCTATGAAATGCAAACTATGATCTAGACAATTCTGACACTTTAAACAGGAAATACTCATAGACAACGCATTGACACATGTACACTAGGCTATAATAATATGCTTAATACATTTATAAACAAAATATAATAGGTACCTGAAGGGTTTTGTCTCTAGACCTTAAATTATTATCAATATGTCTGCGAAAGTTGAAGGCGACTCTTCTGAATGAATATGGCGATTTAACACGAGGAGCAACAAAAGGTCACGTGGACCAATGAAAATTATATTACCTAATATAGACATACAATGACGTAAATATATTAAAGCTGAATTCTATGAAAACTAAAACAAAGTAAATAGCGACTGACTATTCAGAACAATCCTCCAAGGGGCCAAGGAGTGACGGAGTACATATTTTAACATACATATAAACTTAATTAACTAAACATACTAT